TGTGACTATAGATAAGATAATCAAATCTCAAGATTTTTCCATGAAGTTAACATCAAAATGATAAATTAAATATAGGGTCCACATTCCTATCTTAATATATATAGTTTGATATAAAAAAGATTCAATGAAATAAATTTCAGTATTATATAATCTCCTTCATCCATCACCTACAACCACAATATCCACTGAATTAGCTAGAATAAGAAACTCAAGCATATAATCTAAGCATGATATATTGAAATTTGGATTATCCCCTATCCTTAATTTATAAAGAAAGGGGAAGCATTGAGAGTGCATCTCATATTTGAAAGTCATTTCAGAGTTAAGTATCATTGATGGTATAATGGTATAAGACCATACTTATTATTCTTATGAGTATTGATCATCTTTCTTGGAAGAGTAATTTTGGTTGGTATTGTAATTTGAGAGTAAAGTGTTTGTTAAAGGTAAGTAATGATTATTAAGCTACAAGTAGTGAAATATGGATGTTGTAGATGTAGGACCAATCATTCTAAATCATTCCCAATTATTCCGGATAACACTTGTATTCCTTATTTTACCATGGTTGTTGGCACAAAGTTTGTCACTAAATTACTAAATGACAAAATAATGATGCACATGATCCAACAAACAAAAAATAATTTTGGCTTGCATGGAAATAAAATGAGATAACTATCATGCATTGGTGGAATAGATTACGATGTTAGATACTTTAGGAATTAGCTAGAATTAGCTAATACATCCAATAAAGAATGCAAGTGTTATCCAAAATGATTGGGATTAAAGCATCTATAGGTTGCTTTTTAAGTCTACCGTCAAATTCCATGACTCAATCCTAGACATGTAGTGGAAACTATGATTTGGCTAAACTAATCACAATTAATCAAGATTGGTTATAGACTATGAAAGACTAAGAAAATATGACTTGTCAGCTAACCTCCACTCTTTTAGGATTCAACATTATTAATGCGCTTCTAGACTCAATAGTTTTTGTTGCATTACAAATCATTGTAACTACACATGATTGTATAACATTTTCATCATAGAAAGTAGAGTCATTAGCTTTATAATTTAATCTTTGATGGGATATAGCCATACTTGCTATCATATGTTCCAGTCAAAATGTTATGTTTATCTCATGGACTATCAATTGATCAAGGGCTAATCATCCACCACCATCCTTTTTATCTTAAACTAATTATTTTTTAATAGTCATGATTGCAACTCTTGTTGATCGTTATTCTGGATGGAGATCAAATCATCTATCAAACATTGATCATTTTTCATAAACCTACATGACAATTCTCGTTGATTGTTATTTCTGATGGATATCAAAACTTCAATCAATCATATGACAATGTTCACATGATTTTGATTCAATAGAGTTTACTCTTTGAACTTATTTTCTTGAAAACAATCTCTCTTGAAATGTGCACCGCCACATGTACAACACATCATACCAACAATTGATTTTTGACCTAAAAATGATGAGAACAACCTCAATCTAATAACTTCATCATTTGGTCTTGATGATCGAGATTGTTCCACATATCTACTATAATTACTTTGGCTTTTTATTGTAGACTTTGACTTTGTATTGTAGATTAGGTATGTGAAGAAGTTGATGAGGATGGTGATTTCATGTTAAACGAGCATTCATCAATCTCTTCTCTTACATGTTGAGCTAAATATATTTAACTCAAAACAAAACATAATTATCAATATAGGTGATGTTTCTTGTAGTAAAGTAGTATCTCTCATTGTACGTCTCAACTCACTATTTAATATCCTATACCAATATTGATCAACTTGTGACTTTGTCTCACCCCATGAGAAAATATTGATCAATTGTCACATCCATGTACATGGATCTTGGAGGCTCTCCCTAGTCTTTGGTTGAAACTCCTTTAAACCTTTTAGCTTGTCAATCCTTACCCCTAATAATCTCTACTCAACCGAGTAAAAAACTCCAAAATATGGTTAAAGTTTGAAATCTCTACACTTTTTTCAACTTGAGCATCTCCAACCGTCGTATCTATGAGGGCGAGAAGGTAAATTCACCCCATCCAGTTTTAAATAAGGAATAATAGAAATATAAGTTGGAGGTCAATATTTTCTTTAAACTCAATCTTATCATGATGTTCATGCCAAAATTCATGATAATTGTCCATTGGCGAATCCTCTAAATGTAGGATTAGTACCTTCCATGCCATAAATGAACCAAACAATGTAGAATTTTCACTTCTGATGTGACTTGCACCATGAATCAAACTTTTAGATAAAATCATCAAACTCATTGGTACTCATTGTACTAGAATAATATGTAGAATCCTTGATGTCCCCATAGATTTTATCCATATTTCACATCAACTTTGTGGAAACACATCCCAAAATATCATCAAGCTCAGCTTCGTCACTCTCTGACACAAATTAGGATCTCTATAAACCTCAATGGTCAAACTTGGTATCATACATCGCTATTAATTCATCCACTATTAATTCTAGCAGTTTTTTCTTCAAAATCTCTAGAGAATTTCATTGTGATAACATTGTATCATCCCTACTATATATATCCACAACATGTCTCCAACTTGAACCAAAAATCGCAACACAAGGTACTTGAGACGCTGCAAGATGATAAAACAAGGATAACATGAAACTTAAGAGCACCACATGCACTCATCGAGTTTACATGTTAGCAAATCTTATCTCGTTGAATAGAAACATAGATAGTCTAACTAGTGCACAAGTCCAAACTTACTTTCGGTAGTACATAGGAGTACTAACACTCAAAATAATAAAGTACCAAAACAAATATAGTGCACAAATAGAAATTCAAGATGAAGGTATATCAATCATAATAAACATAATCAACATTTTTTTATCTCAAAAATATCCATCAAAGAGGTCAAACCAATCCAACCCGAACTAAGATAGCCTCATTTTTGGAGGCTTTCTATTATCCAAATTGACAATCTGACCTTGGTAATCATGATGATTTGTTGTGATATAGTTGCCTTGAACTAAGCTTTTTAATTATATGTGTTTCACAATTAATTTTTTTAATAAACGAATATCATTTTTAACTTCTACAAGATTTCTAAGATTTTTGATTGAAGAATCATAACTCCATCCACAAAGAATGCAACTAGATTTTTAAGCAACATATGCAAGTTGCAAACAATTCAAGTGTAACCAAAATTCAAGCAAGAGTAGATGCAGCATTTAGCATTTGTTGTGCAATTAGCGTCATATGCAGTATAGATACCTTTAAGGTACCTATAGTACGTTAAGGCCGCTAATGTCGTTAGGAGACCTAAGTGTCAAAGGATAGAGTTTAAATTAAACCACCTAGGAAAACAGTATTAGAAGTTGAGACTTGGAAAGTAAATCTATCGTGAAAAATATAAAGTAATGCAGAATCTAGAATTCTTTGGAGTTCAAAGTGGGTTTGCTCAACTGTAATTACTCTTGTATGTAATGGTTATGAGCGTAGTATTCTTGTTTTGAGACTATAATAAATTATTTCAAAAATTTTAATTCGAGTTTTTGTGAGAACTTTGAATTATTGGACCACTAAATATATTTTTTTGAATATTGATTAATGGTAATTTTTTATCTTAATTGGTATTGAGTGTGCAACACTCAAATGAAACAAAGAGCGTGATGACAATTTAAATGTAGCATAGATTTGAAATTTGATTTTGAATTTAATGATTGATTTTTGAATGAAAATTATTGAGAACGGAAGTGACCATTAGAATTCATAGAAATGTATCAATGGTCATAACAACATTTGTATTTAAGATTGATAGTGGTGAAAAATATTTTAAACATAAGTGATTGAAGTTCAAGAATTGATGTTTTGAAGTTTTTGAATTGAAAATAATAGAGATAGGCTCTAGGATTATCATATAATGTGCGCTTGATCCAAAATTTAATGGGGTCATAAAAAATATAAATTAATTTTTGCAAAGCCAAAATTCTTGAGCACATAAATATCGGGGTCAAAATTATGAAATGTATCTTCTTAATGCTTCAAATATTTAGAATTAAAAAATAAAAATCAAAAAAATATGTGTTATTTGTGAATCAATACTTCTAATTTGATGTTATAATTGAAACAGAATGCCAATATTTTTAAAATCTGACTTTTTTCATTTGAATAGTCTTGTTTTATAAAGATTAAAAAAATCTTAGAAAATTTAATATCTCAATACTGAATAATTTACCAGCAAAAACTAACAAAAATATTGATTCAACTCATAAATATTAAAAAATCTCATTCTGAATTATTTATTGTTTTTTTGAAATAGCTTAATATATCCAGTATTATGGTATACTGATTATCATAATATGGTTGTAATAAGATATGTAATTTTTAATTTAATTTATAAAAAATAATTATATGAATATGAAATAATAATTTTGATATCAATTTTATTAAAAAATTTACAAATAAAATATCATCAGAAAATTTCTGATTAAATTTTACCTAAATTCCTAAATACATCGTTTTTTTCTCTTTTTTCTTTTTTTCATTATAAATCTACGATTGAATTACTGACTTTGACTTAGAATATTGGACTGGGTTGGGTAAATCATATATTTGTATAAAATATATTCCATAGAAATCGATGCCTCGATGCATATAATTAGTACCTCGATGCAGCTCCAATTCTGAATCCTTTTATTCGAGTGGCAGTTACTGATTGTCCTTCAATACGAAAACATGTGTTGTTACTCGATTCTCATCTCAGTTATATTGATGGAAGTGACTGAGGAACACGTCTAAGTGATACATGGTGAATCCGCGTCCTCTCACAATATTCCCTACTGAGAAAAAGAGTTATTGATATGCAGTTATGTCAATATCATAATACAAAGATGCAAACTACCCATTTCGCTTAGTACTGAAAATGGGAAAACCTGAGACAGCAGAGTTTCACACTACCCACGCCAGATGTAAGATCTTCACGTTAGGTCCGGGACTATAGTCCCACCGGAGGTGGGTCCAACCTCCGAACTTGTGGTTGACGGCTACACGCTCTTACCAACTGAGCTATTCCGGCAACTGAGGCTATCCAGCAAACTATTCTTCATTCTAGTCATTTCACGCTTATTTCTTGTTTCATGTACATGTTTTATTTGTAAGTTATGAAATGAAAGACGTCTGTAGAGTAACACGGATCTGGAGTTCAGTCCGTGTCTTAAACACCTTCCCACATTCTCCTTTACGGACTCGTCTCTTAGGATCTTAACCTCCGTCCTTGCATTCTGCTCTAATTGATTGAATACAAGTAAAATGCTGCTCGAAGGCCTGTAGAAAAGCAGTCGTTCCCATGAAAGCCCATCTCCTTCGATATAACAAGAACATTTCGTACTTCTGCTCAGTGCCGTCAAGGAGTGTTATAGCTACTTGGCATCCGTCCCAATACTCGATCCTTTTCCATAATGCATCAAGCAGTTCGAAATCGTTTCAACACAACGCAAAGTTACTGAAGCATTGTGTTTATTTATTTATTATGATTCATCATTGCTTTTGTAAACGTAAACCTCTACCAAAGTTGTACGCACTTGTATACGGCCACCTGTCTGCATTTTTCCGCACAAACCATAACGCATAGGGGATACTACTTGGCTTAACAAGTCATTTCTTCCGAATTTTTAATTCTCAATCTGTACATCAATTGGAGCTGTGATCAAAGTCATTCATAAAGAAACATCGTCTCTGAAATAATCATTCTATAGACGGCAAACGATTGCAAGTACTGTCTTCTATGATCATCACCATAACCCCTGCCAATTATATCCTGCTCCTACCGATTTGGTCTCTGACACTCAAAAGCATGTTATATGAAGATAGGGCAAATGCTCTAATAAAGTGTTTGTAAAAATGCTGCCATGATTAAGACTCTTCATAATTCATTGTCAATATTGTAGTTAGCCGACATTACAAAGATAATGATTAACCAGGTGAAGTCGGGAAAATGTACGACACAGCACCAGGCCACCAGTGTGGTGGTCAAAGAGACAAATCCAACGGAACTACAATGGAAATCCTGGATACAGATGTTTTGATTTGACAAGAATTTTCGAGATATCTGGTCACCAGGAGCTAGAATTGACAAGAAAATACGTTCACGTTCAGCTCGGTCTTCAAAAAATAAAGTTCTATACAGAGCTTGCTCCAAGGGTCTCCAGTCATCGGACAGATGCAACCTTCGCCTATGAAGTCTCTTTTTCTTGCATTTCCTTCAGCATCTGCCTCTTCAAGTAAGCAGCATGTCTCTCAAGCTTCATTTGTTCTGTCTGTACAAACATTCAAGCACACATCAGAACCAACCTGGAAATCAGGGGCAAACGTATCTTAAGTACGATGACTCCCGTAGAGTCCTGGTGAGAGTTTTAATGTAGGTTTCGGGCTAAGAATCTATATAGGAACTTCAAATTTGGCAAACCTAACTTACTTACAAAGCACCTACAACACTACAAGGAGTAAACCCCAGACGAAAGACAAGGTTCCTGCCATTTCCTTATATACAGACGAAAAATGCAAACAATTGGTTGGATAGATAGATATATGTCAGTTGAGATAAAGACCATAGAATCAAGAGTTGGGGCCACAGACTGGTACTAGTAACTACTAAGACAACACAGTCAAAAGGAGGCTCAGATAAGGTTTGAACAGAAGTTCAAAAAACTTTCACAACAACAGAAAATGTTACTCCACCTGCAATTGCATCCCACCAAAAGTGAGTACATAAAACAGCAACCAAAATAGCATTCAATCCGACTCACTTCCCGCCACAGCTTTCAAGTGTCGTGCTTCAGAGTACAAGCAGAAAATGCAGAAGTCTTAGATCTCAGCTGATGTGTTGTGTGCATTTACATCACACCTAACTATGTGCAGCAAGTTCAACCTCACGCCCTCGCGTGGTGTAAATGGAACTTCTGTGGTCAAATCGTAGGTTATCCAACAGATTAATTAAGATTGAAAACAAGAACGGAGACTCCATATTTTCTATGGTCAGGTTACAACTGCCAATGGTCCCAGTAAGCTTAAAATGCAAGCTTTTATTGAGAAAGTAAATTTTTAGATGAAAATAAAAGCAGGTTCACATCATATATTGTGCATGTTCAGAGTGGTAGCAACTGAACTGATTACACTTAGTCGTTCTTTCAGTGTGCTTGCATGTTACGATTTCTTTACAAGATTATAATGTTTGAACACAGATGGATGGTCAGCAGCTTTTATTCTACTAGATAAATGCCCATGAAAATCAGTTTTCCGACTAAAACCATTTCAAGGATAGACAGAAGAGGTTCCTTTCCAGTCCCGATTACACGACAAAAAGTTACGAACGTCATTGTGCATTATTACGTGGGTAATCATTGATCTTCGCGAAACTACTAAAGCCATCATTGGCCGACGAAAACCCTGAAGAATGACGCGCAAAATTTGCTAACTGATTCGAGCACCACTCCTTCCCACAGGACTTTTCAGAAGCTCTTCTAGATAAAACCGAAAACATCAAGCCAATGCAAGTTGCAATAGCCTGTGAGTCCTAAAACAAGGAATTTGCGACAGCAAACAGGGTCCTTCTCATGACTGTAAATTTCACCTCAACCTCTGAACCCGATTGAAAAGGCGAGAACACCTTTTTTTCTCCATACTTCGGCAATTGAAATTCCTCCCAAACGATCCAGAAAGAGGAAAACCCACGCAAATCCAAGAGAAAGCTATATTCTGGAACTACTACCATGCTTTCCATGATTTTGAAACCAATCACGTGTAGAATCAGCTCCAGAGACAGTCCATTTGCAATTACAAAAAACAATGGCAAAAGTCGAAACCCGATCTACAGCTAAGACCGCGAGCCATCCTCCGATCCGGGGTATCATCGGTGAAAGAAATGATAAGAACATACCTTCGCCTCCCGATTCTCGGCCATCCAGACCACGAGATTGTCGAGCGACTTGACTCCCACAAAAGTGACCGCGACGAGCCCGAGAAACGTGTGAACGCGCACCATTGTAATAAGCTCTTCTGCCTTCCCGACGAACGATAGACAGACACACTTAAGGGAGAGGAAAAATCCCTTGTTCCAGTGCATTCACTCGACTCAACGACGCGTCGACCCTTCCTTCTACTCTTTCTGCGCACCGAAGCCTGCGCCCCCAAACTTCACTTCGTCTCACTCCGTCTTTGATGGGGTCTTCCCATCCGTTTTGCTATATTACTCGGTTTCGCGTTTTTTTTTCTCCTCCTCTCTTCTCGCCGTTCTCCACCCCCTTCCGTTCGCGACATTTTCTGTCATTTAGGCCTCTCGCACCCTGCGCCTTACTTTTCTCTCCAACCATCCAGCAACCCACAGACTCCTCCCGACGTGAGTCCACGTGAGCCCCGCCACTTCCGGTTGCTGTAGAGGAGTTCGGATTCTTGGGAACCGGGAGGTTCTCAAATCGTCAGAACACTCCCGGCGAGAGGGAGGCAGCTATGTTCATGAGCAGCTTTTTCCCTTCCCAATGAACATTGAAATTACATGAGCACCAAGAATCAAATGTTTGTCTGTAACCTGGGTTCCTTTCACATGAAAAATGAACCTACATTAGTAGACATAAATTCAACATGAAACTTGAACAAAATATAAAGTTTTGTATTTCTATCCATTTCTCGGTCCCTACACATTCTTCTTTGCGATTGGAAATTCTTCACCATTCATAATATGGACAATATGCAACGTGTGCCACATTTTGACAACGGTCAATACTCTAGCCGAGAAGATACTTTTGCCTTGACAATTCACGGTTGCAATGTGATTACCTTAGCCTCATACTTTCACATGAGATGAGAGCGGAGTTTTGAAACATCACAAATGCAGTAGGTTGAATTATACACAGTTGTTTGAGTTCATCATAACTCTACAGTGGATGGAATGCTAATAGACTCATGGCAGTAACTGAAATCCTCAAGTCAACCATGACGATTAGTTATGGACATCTACATAGCAACACGATATAAATTTCTTAGATCTTCAAAATGAAGTGCTTGTTTATTCCCTCATTAAAAATAAAAACAACTATATTCATCTTAATATAAATCATACAAATAAATTCAAATTTTTATACAAATCTATAACTGTGTGTGAGCGCCAACAAAAAATTTGCAACAGAGGTTCGTGTTTCTATCATAAGTAAATCTTCATGTTTATAACTTGCAGGCATAAAACATGTGAATAGTCATTGGAGATGCCTATGTATCAAAAGATTCTAAGTAGTTCTTCACTCATCTCCTTATCTATATGCTCATTTTTTTGATATTTTTAAACATATTTTGTAAAGTTGACCATATATATTAAAAAAAAATATCTATTGCAAATCAATACAAACTATTACTAGTATTTCTTAGATTTTCATGGATGCAATTTGGAGATAAGCTAAACATAATTTATTTGAGAAATAAGAACTTTACTCTCAAGATTCGTAGTTGTCACATTACAGAAGAATCATGTACAACAAGAGTAGTTTTTGAAAGAAAAAAATTATTTTTTATTATGACAAGAAATTAAATATTTTTCAATGAGACATGAAAAACTGTAAAATCTAATTAAAAATGAAATTTGATTTTGAAATAAAATCTTATCTCTAATATATTGATAGAGTGTCATAATTTCATGCATATAAGTATGTAACTTATCAACACATACACTTTATAAATGAGATACAAATCATTCATATATATATATATATATATATATATATATATATATATATATATATATATATATATACATACTTACTTAAAAATGATAATATTTTTATATACTAGTGTTTCAATTTTATTTAAAATAAAATGAAAAAAAAAAAAAATTATTTTATTAAAAAATTGATTTAATATTTTTATACTAAAAGGAATCTTGAATCATATATGGGCAGATATGTAAACCCAAGATCATTAACGTAAAAAAAAAAACAGCTAAAGTTTTATGATGAAAAAATAAATTATATATATATTTTCTATTTTATAAAATTAAAAAATCTCTAAACTGAGAGTTTGAATATTTTGTAA